GAAACGCTTATGATACTAGAACTCATGCCCTATGGAGCATGTTATCCCATTTTGGGATTGGTTTAGTCTGCAGCAGCAAATGCTAGTTACAATATGGGTTCCAGCGAAACAAATTTAGTCATTAGTAAAGCCGAAGTCAATGGGTGTCCTACTGTGAAGAAATTGAAACCTCGGGTCGACGAAGTTTCGATAAAAAGATCGACCTGTCATATAACTATTGTAATGAAAGATGTATCTTTAGATGATAATATAATGAGATGTATTCGTTAAAAACGAAATGGAAAAAATCTACAGCTATGACGTATCGTGATATGTATAATAGTGGGGATTATGGGACAAAAAATAAATCCACTTGGTTTGTGACTGGGTACAACCCAAGGTCATTCCCTTTGGTTTTCATGCAACCAAAAAATTATTCTGAAGGTTTACAAGAAGATCAAAAAATAAGAGATTGTATCACAGAATTTTATATACAAAAGAATATGAGAACATCCTCTGGCGTCTAGGGAATTGCACGTATAGATTCAAAAAGAATCGATCTGATCCAGGTCATAATCTTTATGGATTCCCAAATTTTTAATAGAAAGTCGACCGCGCGGAATCGAAGAATGCTATAAATGACCTTACAAAAAGAATTTAATTGTGTAAAACTGAAAACTGAACATTGCCGTCACAAGAATTGAAAACCTTACGGAAACCCTAATATTCTTGCAGAATTGAGAAGGCAATTAAAGAATAGAGTTTCATTGAAAAGCAATGAAAAAGGCCATTGAATTAACAGAACAAGCAGATACAACAGGAATTCAAATACAAATTGCGGGCGTATCGACGGAAAAGAAATTGCACGTGTCGAATGGATCAGAGAAGGTAGGGTTCCCCTACAAACGATTCGAGCTAAAATTGATTATTGCTCTTATACCGTTCGAACTATCTATGGAGTATTGGGCATAAAAATTTGGATATTTCTAGACGAGGAATAATTTTACTACTTGTCTTTCCTTCTATCCAATGATTGAACAAAAAAAGACCAATTCATTCTTTTTCTAATCAATTAAGAGGAACATTCTAATTCTTAATTCTATAAGGTTGAATAAAAATTCGATTGACCATTTGATATACTGCTATGCTTAGTGTGTGACTCGTTGGTTTTTTTAGGTTAGGATTAAAAAGACCAGCCCACATAGTATGAACTAAAACTATAGAACTAATAACCAACCCACTTCGCATTATCTGGATCTAAAGAACCAGTCAAGATATGATCTATAGTTCATATCTTTGTAGCAACTGAAATCTTTTGGCTAAACAAAAAAGAAATCTGATTCGAAGTTAAAGCAAAATAGACACAAAAGATGTGGATAAATGGAAAGATGAGAGAAAGAAAGAACAAGAATACCAATGATATAAAATTCCAATATGTAAGGTCTATGAGTAATCTCATAAAAGGCAGTGTAATAAAGCATCAATACGCATTCATACCATAATAAAAGAATCTTATTATAGAAATAGAAACAAAAATCAAGAGCTTGAGCCAATAAAGACTGAGAAGATTGACTCAAGAACCAATTTCATTCTGAGCTCCATTGTCGAATTCTGACCTAACCATTAAGTAAGAAGTGATGGGGATGACGGAATCCCAGAAATGCAAAAGATTCTATTGAAAAAGGAATCTTAATGATTCACTAGTCGGGATGGCGGAACGAACCAGAGATTAATTCATATTCGGAGATCTGAGAAGTCATTGTTAAACTCTACAATGAAATAGGGATTGAAAGAGTAAATATTCGCCCGCGAAAAGTATATTGCAAAATCTAGGACAATACAATAAAGGACAAAATAAGGACGGTATAATAATACAATTTTTTTATATTTCTACTTTAAAAAACTAAAAAGTTTAGTTATCTATTCAAACAAGTTGCAAATTACTGGAATCGATTGAATGAAATCTCAAAGAAGCCCACGTTCAAGGTATTTAGTAAATAAAAATAAATATATATCTTAACTTAAGATTGACTATTCTAGCTTAATTCAAATTGAATTTTTTGGAATCCTTTATTCGCGAGGAGCTGGATGAGAGAAGAAATTCAATGTCCGGTTTGTAGTAGAGATGGAATTGGTGAAACAACCATCAACTATAACCCCAAAAGAACCAGATTCCGTAAAACAACATAGAGGAAGAATGAAGGGAATATCTTTATCGAGGTAATCATATTTCTTTTCGGTAAATATGCCTCTTCAGGCACTTGAACCCGCTTGGATTACATCTCGACAACAGAAGCAGGACGACGAGCAATGCACACGAAATGCACGTCGGGTGGTGGAAAAATATGGGTACGTATATTTCAGACAAACCAGTTACACTAAGACCGCAGAAACACGTAGCGGGTTCAGGAAAAGGATCCCCTGGGAATATTTGGTAGCTGTTGTTAAACCGGGGCGAATACTTTATGAAATGGGTGGAGTAACAGAAAATATAGCCAGAAGGGCTACTTCACTAGCAGCATCCAAATGCCTATACGAACTCAATTCATTATTTCGTAATGGAATAGAAAAAATGTAGAAAGGGCTCTTAGATCTGAAA